GATGAGCAGAAGAAATGATAGGCCCACTGGAGCAGACAGAGGACACTGGACTTTACAGGGGATGGGGGAAGAGTCGGTTTATTTGGTTATCAAAAGAATGGTCGACTCAGGAAGGGTGGAAGAATTTTGAATCTGGGCAAGAAAATCAAAAAGGTTAAAAACTATAAGAACCGTGCCCCCCCCCCCAGCATATACAGAATGGATAACACTGTACAGCACAGGGAAGTATATTCAATATCCTGTGATAAACCATAAGGGAAAAGAATATGAAAAAGAATATATATATGTATAAGTGAGTCACCTTGTTGTACAGCAGAAATTAACACAAATTGTAAATCAACTACCCTTCAATAGAATTTAAAAATAAAGGAAAAGAGCACCGTGTAAGACTGCTTTTACTGATTTGCACGTTTTGAATATGAATTGTTAGGCATTAACAAGTAAAGGGAGGGCCTGCCTTTGGATCCTCATTCTTCTACTTAAAAGTTACAAGATCTAGGCCAATTGCTTTCCCCTATGTATTTCCAGCTCCTCACGTTCAAGTTAGAAGCAATAATACTAAACTACTGAATATTAGGGTTATTATAAAAATGAGAAGAAATACTGAATATCATGTTCTCAATAAATGAGGGCTCTAAATTAACAACTTTCAAACCACAGTAAAATAAAAATCAATATGATTCCGTAAACCTGGCAGGATCCCACTATCCCCCAAAGCCTAAATTATTTACATATCTCCTACATTCATTATTTAATGAAGTGTCTTAACTAGTTGGTGATATTTTACATACAATTTCATGCAAATCTAGTTGTCTTTTTTTTCATTAATGATGTCTCATTATATATTCCAAATTATTTGAATTTCATATGTATATTTATTTGGTTATTAAAAACAGTTAAAGTCATTTCTAAAAGGATTAACTAAATAGGTCTCATTAAACTTTGTAAATATCATGACTTCCAGGAAATCACCATGTTCAATGAATATCTTCAAGTCTTGCTAATGATTACTCTAATGAAGCCTTACATTTCTGTAGTGGTTTCTCTTTCATGTGTATGATCTCATTTGATCTTGATGCCTCTGATTTTTGCTGTTATTGTCAAGACCAAATTTTCTATGTTCGAAACTTTAAATTCAAGTAGTATGATCCAATTTTCTAATTGCCTCTTGAAGGTAAAGTGGTACCATTTATCACTGCACCACCCAATCAATATTTTCATTGTTCAACCAAAGTTACAAATTCATATACTCACCTATGGGAACATCTCTAGTTGCTTATTTGGCTGGCAAACTGTACTGACATCTTACCACCAAAGACTTTATTTTTGAAATCCATTCAGTTCATTTTTGTTTAGGAGGTTAAGCATCTCTTTGGAGCGCAAAATACCTAGATCAAAACTGACACTACATTAAATTTACAGGATGATGCTTTCTGGTTTGGTAGTTATGCTTTAATAATATTTTGTGGCAGTAACAACATACCACTACCTGACATTTTCCTCCTCTTTAGAAATTTAAAAAGGAAGAAAGAAAGAAAGAAAGAAAAATAAAAGAAAAATAAAAAGCCTTCTTGTAACAGGGTCAAGGAACTCAACTACTAAATTCTGTCAATTTCAAAGCAGGGCTAGTACCCAACATATTTCTTTTCCATTTATCTATTTTTATGAAAAAGTGGACTGTTTTGAGTGTTTCTAGTCCTACACCCTATCTCCATTTTTCTATAGGCCCTATGCACCCCTCTGTTAAAGTAGAATTTAAAAAGGAGTAGTTACAGTGAGCTTTAGAGTGTTAAACCTAATACATGTAGATTGACAGGCCACTTGATTATGTTGGGGATATCTATCCAGTTTTTAGTTTATTAAGCCCCGCTGCCCCTCAAGCATTTTTTTAAAAATTTATTTATTTTTATTTGTTGTGGTGTGTGGGCTTCTCACTGCAGTGGCTTCTCCTGTTGCTGAGCACGGGCACTAGAGCACAGGCTCAGTAGCTGCGGTGCACGGGCTCAGCTGCTCCATGGCATGTGGGATCCTCCCAGACCAGGGCTCGATCCCGTGTCCCCCGCGTTGGCAGGCAGATTCCTAACCACTGCGCCACCAGGGAAGCCCTCCCCTCAAGCATTTTATTGCAGCAACACTAGGGCATGATCTGAAACTCAAAGCAGATTTTTTTTATAATCTGTGAGAAAACAAGCAAGTTATAACTATTGCATATTATATTACTTTGGAGACTCTAAAAATGATCCATTTTCCCTCTCTTCCATGCAAAGAAGACTCTCATAAATGATTCCTTCTCCAACTTTTCCTGCCTGTTCCTCTCTCTCCCTCAACTTCAATCATGCCCCTGTAAGGAACATAATCAAGTGATGATAAGATCCCATAGACAAAAAAAAAAAAAAGACAATACAAATATTTTGTGGAAATTAATCTGGAGAAAATAAGAGGAATAAAAAGAGGCAAGGATAATTTCTTTATGGAATACATTTTCAATCATTTACTCCTAAAAGTGTTTTTTGACCATTGAAAAAACTTATGCCAGTCACACCATATGAAACATTATTTTCTCTTATTAGAAGTGAAAAATTGTTTAAAAACGTAGTCTAAAGATATTCTGCTCCTTTTAGATCTCCAAATGAATACTGTGTGTAAATTAGTGCCACTTCCCTATAGTCTGTCACTTTAAACCCTCTCTTATCATGGCCTTAACACCTCTGTTCTCTTGCCTTTCTGTTTTACTATCTGGGAAAAACCACATTCTAGGATCAATCCAACTCTCTACCTTTTCATTTGACTGATAACTGAAGATGTATCAAGTACTCAAATAGGCACATTTCACAAGTAAGATACCTACTTTCACAAGCACACAACCACAAATTCATGGTATCCAACCCAAATCGGCTGTCAGGGGGCCTGGAAATTCTTCTTGGTTTCTTTCGTCAGTTCTTTTTCTTATCCTTCATTATGGGCATTTCATACCTGCTCCTTCATCCAAAGATAAAAAGCATCACCCTATTTCTTACTTTGCAGATTAACATCGTCATCATTACATGGGTTTCCCAAAGTTCTGCAACACACCTGCAACCATGCAATTCTCATTCTCTTTGTCATGATGGACGAAGTAGCCCTTCCCTCTTCAAGGCTGTTCTTGATCCCATACCCTCCAGGGTCCCCAGATTATTTTCATTCTCTCTTATTTGTCTCCCATTAGATCCTTGCTGTCAGTATTTCAATGCGATGAAGTCTCCACTTTATAACAAAACAAATCAAATTCCCTCTACCCTTCTTTGCCATCATCTGCTCACTCCCGATTCAGTCCTCAACTCACTATAGCTGTCTCCTGTTTCCACTACTCCAAAGACTTTTCTTGCCGAAATCATCAAAAATCTCCTTTTAGGTAAATCCAGTGGAAAGATTTTCAGTCTTGATTTTATTTCATCTCTGACATTTCTGACATCTCCAACATTTATTACTGGTGTCCACTTCTGTTTCCTTTTGTTTACATGGTATCATTTTCTTTTGGTTTTCCTTTTCTCTGATAAATCCTTCTCAGTCTTTTGTCATGTTCTTATTTTGCTCATCCTCTAAATGGTGGGTTCTTAGGGTTCTTACCTCTTTTATTCTCATTTTAAATTCTTTCCCTGGACAACCACATCCGTTCCCATATCTTTTAATATCTTTTAAATGTCACTGAATCTCAAATCTATATCCTTAGCAAAATTGTCAGCTCCATTTATCTACTGAACATCTTCATTTAGATGTTCTAAAACCTCTAAAAGTCAACATACAGTTATTGTATTCTGTATCTCAGTAGATGGAAACAATATTCACCCAGCTGCCTAGGCCAGAAAAAGAGAAGTTATCTCAGTCTTCCATTGAAGGCCTTTGTGGAGTAAATTCTCTCCGTCTTTGTATGCCTGAAAATATATTTATTTTTAAAATTTTATATTCATTTTAAATTTATTATATATTATTATTTTATATATATTTAAACTGTCTAAAATGATAGTTTAGCTGAGGATAGAGTTCTAGGATAAAAGCTATATTTTCACAGCACTTTGAAGAGACTAATTCATTGTCTTCTAACACCCATTGCTGCTGAAGATGGATACTGTCAGTTTAAATAACATTCCTTTCTCTTTTTTCATGACTAATTTTATTCTTGAGGCCCCTGGCTTACTTGCTAAGGCTGCAACTCTGGGGCAGTTTCCAGGTCCCTTTCACAAACATGGCCGTAATTCCATATTTTTGTTTGCATGGGGCCTCGTAGCCTGGATTGTTCTTCAAAGGTGGACATGAGAATGATATTAGCTTTAGCTCCTGTTCACATTTCTTACTTTTAATTACTCCTTGATTCTAGCATATAAAGGTTTTCCATTGTTTCATGCTAACCTTGAAAGCTTTTCTTGTATTTTATTTGATATTTTTTGTGTTTGGAGTTGGAGAGAAAATTTTTTTTACATCAGGTCAGTTGCCAAATGGACCAGGAATCCTTGCTTACTTTTATTACTTACTTTTATCCTCCAGTAGATTGTAAGCTCTTGATGTCAGGACAGCCTAATTGTACAGTTCTGTAAGGGCTAAGTGAATATTTGCCAAGTGAGCAAATGAATGAATATGAGTTAACTAATTTGTGACATTTATTTATTGTGAACTCTTTCACCACCGGTCTTCTCATCATAATATAAGTGAGGGTTCATTTTTTTTTTAATTTATTTTTTTACTTATTTATTTTTGGCTGCCTTGGGTCTTCGTTGCCGCGCACAGGCTTTCTCTAGTTGCAGCGAGCGGGGGCTACTCTTCGTTGCGGTGCGTGGGCTTCTCATTGCAGTGGCTTCTCTTGTTGTAGAGCATGGGCTCTAGGCGCGTGGGCTTCAGGAGCTGTGGCTCACGGGCTCTAGAGCACAGGCTCAGTTATGCCCTCTAATATGCCTTGCAGTCCCCTAAAATATCTTTATAGTTCGAAGAAGCAATGATTCCACAGAGTCTTGTCTCCATTTATCTGGCTCGATATGTTTGTGAGACAATTGCAAGCACTTCTAAGCATTTCTTTTATAAGTCCTTCACATGGAAAAATAAGAAAATATGTAACTTTTTAAAGAGTTTGGGGTTAACATATATACACTACTATATATAAAATAGATAAACAATAAGGACCCACTGTATCACACAAGATACTCATTATCTTGTAATAACCAATAATGGAAAAGAATCTGAAAAAGAATATATATATATGTATAACTGAACCACTTTGCTGTACACTTGAAACTAACACAACATGTAAATTAACTATACTTCAGTAAAAACACTAAAAAAAAAAAGAATGAAAGAAAATTTTTTTCCAAAAGACCAATCTTCCCACTCTCATACTAAATTCAAAATCAACATTCCTTCTTCACCACGCACGAAGTCATGATAGATTATAGATGCCAACTATTATACAGATAGTAGGACAATAAATCTGCTGTAAGGTAGTGAATGTACTCTAGGACAGGGTGTCCCCAACCCCTGATCCTGGTCTGCGGCCTGTTAGGAACCGGGCCGCACAGCAGGAGGTGAGTGGCGGGCGAGGAGCAAAGCTTCATCTGCCGCTCGCCATCGCTCGCATTACGGCCTGAACCACGCCCCCTCCCCATCCGTGGAAAAATTGTCTTCCGGGAGACCAGTCCCTGGTGCCAAAAAGGTTGGGGACAGCTGCTCTAGAACATCTGTTGAGATCCTAGGAGCTATATGCAGTTAGACTCCGATTTCTAAATTCCTGCTATATTAATTCATTGTGATCTTTTAGGTAGACCTGACTTAGATTGTTACAATGCAAAACAAGCAGAAGTAAGACAGGAAATAAAGATTAAGCAGATACATGAAAAACCACTTCCGGGATTGACGAGATCACCGACAGACACAAATTGCAACAAAATGAATTCTATTCTAGCTCGGATATACCAAATAGCAGAGTATATTTTCTATTTCAGCCTAGGAAGAAGTTCGAAATAAATTATTTCAAGAATGATGAATTCAATAAAGCATGAGAACACGGGCTGGAACTTAAGCAACAGCGCCTTTCACATGTTAGTGACTTTAACTTGGCACATAAAGAGTTGATACCAGAAAAGATAATGTCTCTTTGAGAATAAATCAAATAATGATAGTTATCTTAAATTATATTTAGAACTCTCTTGTAGCTATGATCTACCAAAAGTTTGACAATTAACATCAATCCCAGTAAATTTATTTCTCAGAAGCATCTGATATAATGCACTGGGCTCAGATCAGCCTTAAGGGCTTCATACCCCCTGCTGTTGCTGTCTTAAAAGCTTTATATCTTTATTAAAAAGTCTTAATAATGTGTCAACAAGGGGTCTTACATTTTTATTTTGCACCGAGACCCATAAATTATGTAGCGAGTCCTGACTGGGTTAAATATGATAAGCCTATTTCTATATTTGTCCAGTAAGAGGCATAAAATTTTGATCATGTTTCCAGGCATAGAAGGTCTTAAATGGCCTATTGCCTACCAGGTAAACATCAAACTCCTTAGCCTGTCATTCAATACTTTCCAAGAAGTGGTTCCAATATATGATTCCATATTTAATTTACCTGACCTCATTCATTCCTTCATTCATGCATTTGTTTAATGAAGATTCATTTCTAGTCCTCCAGTAACTGTGAAGAAAAGAAGTATGAACTTGTTCTAACTCATCGTGTGTTACAGGTAAATCGCATTACTTTTAAACTTGGAATTGCATTAAATTCCCAACTAGCCCTTGTTTTCTGCAATCCTTGCATTTGCCAGCTATGCCTGCTTGCTCTCAGATTCATTCCCCATCCTTATCCTGCTTTGTTCCCTGTTAACCAGAAACACAATTTCCCAGATTTTCTTGTACTCCTGGGTAGGCTGGGCCAGTGGTAGGTACTGATGAAAGTTTGTAGAATAAAAGAGCAGAGTAGGCAAGCTCTACTCCACCGCCCATCCCCACCGCCCTGCAGGCTCCTATGTCAGCTCCATGGGGCCATTCCCGTGCACCCACACTTCCTCCCGCCCACAGTCCCAGCCCCTGCTGGTCAGCATCTGCTGACTGGTCCTGGCTTCTGGGCTCCAATAACATTATTGTCCTCTCAGCCCTGGTGGTGGCAGTGCCCTTTCTCTCTCGCTGATCTTGGAGCCCCACTATCCACTGCTGGGCTACCCGGCTCTTCCAGCACCTGTGCCACCATAGTAGTTTCTCTTTTTCTAATTGGATCCTGTTCTTTTTTTTCTAAAATTGTGCCTCCATTCTACCTAGCTTTCCATTTACTGACACATGTCAATATTTCATTCACCCTTCGGGGCACAAGTCCAATCCATGTTTTATAGTTCTTTTGTAATACTTAAAACATTCGAACTTGTTTGATAAACGCTTATGCAGATGTGTTTACTGTCCTTGAGCACAGGAACACAGTCTAGGGTAAGTGAGGAATCACACTTGCAATGTGAGATTTATCCCAAGACAATGCCGCTCCCATACCAGGTGCTCAAGAAATTCATTGTTGTAATTCTCTAAATATAGCGGTGAATTTTAGATACTGCATTTTTTTCAGTCCAAAAATTTAATTCATAGTTCTCTGTGTAGAAACCAGTATTTCCATGGAAATATCTGCATTTCTCATATACGTACAGTGCTGAGAAATCAACTTCCAGGACAAAATGGACTGTGTATTATTCAGATGAAAGTGACATCATTGCTTGAAGACATACAAATAATGGACAGCATTAATATAATAATAGAAGTGCTGGGGGGAGGTCCATATTTTCATGATTCCAAAACTCTATCAATTATAGACATCTTCACAATTAGTGGAAACAGTCTCTCAACTTGCCTTCTTCCTGCCGGACGTACATTTATATATGGCAGATTTGATTATCAGTGGGGCATCTACATATTTGCATGGTAATAGAGCTCCTCTATTTGAAGATGATGCTTTTCCTGCTTACCATCACGTATGAGCGTGGCTGTCAGGATACAGGGCGGCTCAGTAGTTATTTCCATATTGCCCAGTGTGAAGATGGTTCTTTGATTGGGCTACAGCTGGGCTTTTGAGAGGCTATTTGCAATTCTTGCTCCTAAAGCTTGTGAAGTTTCTGTTCAGAAGAAAAGCTCTTCCATTGTGGGTTGCAATGTGCCAGCCTCACCTCCCTGTCCCTGCCGCCTTCTGGCAATCGGCAGTGAAGCTTTGTTGTTTGAATCCTGGATGCAGAACATCCTTCAAGCCTTCCTTCTGGCATAACTGTCGGCAGTTCCCTCACTTTGGGATGCTGTACGACCAGGGTTGTCAACAACAATTTCATGATCTGTTCGTTCCTGTTGGACTTAGGATAAGCACTGAAGGCAGAGCCTCTAAATGCCAGAGGGCTTCTTCTTAGCAACTTTGTGGCAATATTTACCATAGCTGATGAAATGGTTTAAGTCGGTAAGGGGACATCTGAGATGCAGAGGCTGAAGCTGCAGACTTGGGTGTCCATATATGTGACCTGTAACTAAGATACAGCCTCGACACCCTGCTAAAGCAACTGATGGCATGAGTGGCTGGCAGCTTTCCATAAGAAGCATAATTACTGCTCCTGCAGGGGACTCCCTTTCTGTTTGAGAGGTTCAACCCAACTCTGCCTAGATTCTGGCAACTCAAAGTGTAGGGGACAAGTTCATTGTCGTTACCTGGGAACTCATTAGACGTGAAGAATCTCAGGCCACGCTCCAGGATCTACTGAATCAGAAGCTACATTTTAGCAAGATTTAAGTAATCCATAAGCACAGTGAAGTTTGAAAAGCACTGCCTTGAATCACCAGGTGACTAGCTCAAAAAGAGCACCCGGCCTCCTCACTGGCAACGGGAACTTTGCACTTGTAGGTAAATACCTAGCTGGGTGAGGAAGCTGGAATTCACAATGTTCTGAGTATTCCAATCAGCAGGGGACACTCGAGGCTCCAGTATTGGAGGGACAGGGCTAGCCAGGTGGAGTGGAGACCAGGTTCACAGGTTTTCCACGATCTCCTCGGGAGATGAGCACACCCTGAGAACGATGCCCTTGCTGGGTTAACAAGTTAGGTCAGAACAAGGGGAGCATCCGGCCGAGGGGCAGGGCAGGTACAGGGTCTCAGTGGAGGAAGCGGACCCCCTCAGACTAAGTAGCCCAGAGTGTCAACAACTATACTGTACGGCACACTGAGGTGACATCATTAGAGACAGGTAGTCAGGAAAACTAGCATTGGGACTAAAGGGAAGAAGGAGCCCAAACAGAAAAGTTCTTAGGGGTGACTTAGAGGGGTGACTAGGGTTGATGCAGAGAGGGCGCTGCAGGAAGGAGAACGGGCAGCCACTGCTGGTCTGACCGGGATTCAGTCACCACTTCTGCTCCCTCTGTGGTCCTCCTCCCCAGGAAGCTATTTGTGGCTTCTGACCTTCGTATATCTTTCGACACTGTTTTACTTACTTTTCATGACTAAATCTATTTTTTTCCCCTGTATACAGGGCAGTCCATCATATTTTCTATTTCTCTGGGTTCGCATTTATTATCTCATCTTGTCTTATTTTTTCTAATCTCAGTTGTGTCCACAACTCTATGAGGAGGTGCAGGTATAATTCAGCCTTGATAAGGTGAAACTGAGTTATAACTGCGACACAGAACCACTTGTCTCACCTAAGGTAGTATATTTGGTAACAAAGTTAAGAATAGAACACAGATATTCATATTTTATCCTAGCACTTTTGAATATGACACCTAGCTGTTTACCATTCCCTTCAAATGTGTGAAAGTTTATGAGATTAACATCCTTAAGTTATGAAGCATGGAAGCAACTTTCTCTCAAGAGGTATGTTATTTTGAAAACTGTGATTTATTTTGGCCAGCTTAGCTTGAAGGATCCTTTCTAAAATTCATCTCATTTTCTTCTTTATTATTTACCCCAAATATCTGAATCCACATGTATACTATCTATGCAGTAAACAATGGAGCCTTTAATGACTGGTACTAATTTTTAAACAAGACAAAACTATAAAAATGCTTTCAAGTTAATCCGACTCAC